TGTAACAAAAGAGGTCATTTATGGACATTTCGGCCCCCATTAATCGGTGTAAATTAACGTTGAGCTAAATAATTAGTCGGTCCGACAAAGGTATAACCCAATACGGTTTTTTGGACAACAACTTGACCCATTTGTAGGTTTATGGCACCATCTCTACGTATGAATGGATATACAGTAGTTTTCCGATTTAACGAACCCATATGTTGTCAGGCCTGTTCGTAAAATTGAAAAGTTCGTTATATGCAGTACTAACTAAAACGTGGGTTTTTGGTAGGAAAATAATTAAAAATAGGTACATAAAATATTTTTTAAATGTATTTTATAAAAATTAATTCTTTTTTTATAAAAATAGCACAAAACACAAAATTCCGAATCTTATATACCCACCTTCAAACCATATTTGTGTCGAATTTAATCGCTGTATTTTTAATTCAGTCATGAGCTTTAATGTTATTTCTCGAAGTTCATCGCTATACTCGTATTTTTAAGCGAGTAATGAGCGTTGAAGTAATTTTCTTAAGGGGGCCTGATATGGAGGGTAAGGTCAATTATGGACCGATTCCCATAAAATTTGTTAGAGATTTCGGTTAGTATAGAACATGTTTGTATCGAATTTCATCGGCGTACTCGTATTGTTAAGCGAGTATTGAGCGTTAAAGTCATTATCTGAAGGACGGACGGACATAGCTACATCGAACTAAAATTTAATAAGAACCCAGAATGTGTTACAGTTTTGGTTATAAAAGTACCGCTTAAAACAACGGTATAGTTTTTTGCTACAACTTAGGTTATTTGTTATTTTTGATAAATGTCATTTTATCTTCATTTAAATAATAATATTTTTATTAGTTCGTTAAACAGAGTACAAAAAACAAGTTTTGTTCGTTATTTAAGGTAGTCAATAGAAAAAATTAGCTTGTTCGTTAAATGCGATGTTCGTAGAATTGAATGGTCGTTAAATCGGAAAACTACTGTATATCACTTCCCAATTCGAGTTCGATTAAGGTATTCGAACGTGTGACGATGGGGTAAATCCCGCAAAGTGGCGATTTTTGTGTTTTTGAAAAATGATTTTTTTGTATAAAATTGGGTACCGAATAAAACAAAATTATGTATCACTAACATTAAAAATATTTTTTTTAAACCTTACTGATTTTTTGTACTGCGCTTTCAAAGTTGAACTTTTTTTTAATTTTTTGAAAAACCAAAAAAATTTAAATTTAAGAATTTTTCAGATTTAATTTGAACAAGAAAAAATTTCAAAAATAAATATTTCAAAATGGAACCATCAACTTCAGGTACTTGGCAATATATTTTGATAAATTTTATTAAACTCTTTGTTTTCTTAATATTTTTTGCATTTTTTTAAATAGTCTAAAATTAACCTGTTTTTGAACTTTAATGGAATGCATCTTAAAATGTTATAATTTGTTAGCTCTGAAAAAATAGGTAAAAATTACTACATATAGTCTTCTTTAATATTCCGAAAAAAACTGCACAAGATTGCTCCATTTTAAGAAATTATGATTTTAATAAACGTACCCAGCTCCTCTAATCATAATACAGGAGAACGAATTAGTTATGTTTTCGTGTTTATTGTCAGTATTTACATCGTTATTGTTTTAAATGTAGCCATAAAATATTTACATTAACATTGGTTTTCTTAGTTTTTTATTTATTTATTTTATTATTATAATTAAAATTGTTGTTTTTTTAATTTTAAGATATATAATGGGGTGCAATTTGTTGTACTAAAAAAATGAGAATTTCAGAAACTACGCGAATAATACAGCTAGATATTATGTTGAGAAGTATCCATGGTATTACATGTCCCCCACTCTGCATAATTTTTTTATTGCCAATTGGCCAACTTTCTGAAGAAGCTCAAGAGGCAAGAAACAAGGATTTCAAAAACTACAGTAGAGAAAAGACTACTACTAGTAGAGAAAAGACTACTACTAGTAGAGAAAAGAAACCAATGAAGACATATTTAATAGACTTTTGTTAAGCTCCGATCCTATAGTTTCAAGTATGAGCAAAAAATAGGAAAAGAAAAAAACTGTTCAACCATTGGATCTCCTTATTCTTTCAAATGACTCGAATAATAAGAATAACTCTGCAGAAAGTAGTGATGATAGTTTCGATGATGATAGTGAGAATGAAAATTACACTGAATAAGAAAATAACAGAAATAATTTACTACCCATTTTCAATTAATAAAAAATAAATTTTAGTTAAAATAATCTAAATAAATATAAAAATAGCTTAATACCTTATTTACACATACAAGAAATCTAGTAGATTTCATTTAAAATCCTTTTGCAAATCTAAACCGTTTACACTTACTCTTCTTAACATTTCGGAAGATTTAATTTTTTCTAATATTTCTGGAAAAAGTGTGTGATATGAAAAATTTATATTCAATTTATAAAATTTTGTCGACATTTTAATTTTTTTTTGTTTGTTTTGTTTTTCTCTTTTTTCTTGTGTAGCGTTATTATTTAGTATTATTTAGGGAAAACAGAGTTGCATTACTAAAAACTATTAGATTTTGAGTAGATTTTAACGAAATCTAGTTACGAAGTAGATTTTGTTTTGTATGGGAAATCTAGTTAAAATCAACTAGATTTGGCTCGAAATCTCATAAGTACTAGATTTCGTGTATGTGTAAATGGGGTATAAGAGATTTTATATCTTTGGTTAAATATTGGTATATTTTTTAAGTTATTAATGTTGTGGGTCTATTTCGGTTGTAATTTCTATGTGAACTAGGAGAAATAATGGACCAATTCAAACTAAACAATGCACGACACATACTTTATATAGGAACTATGATGAAATATGGACATACCATTTTGAATAGAAAAAAACATATTTAGTATAAGCTCTAAACCCATATCCGGAAGGTCCATTTGTATGGGAGCTATGCGAAATAACAGAGAGGTTCTCACCAAATTGAAGTTCCGCCTTTTTTGACCAATATAAACCTATGTGCCAAAGTTTATTATGATATCTTCAAAATTGTGACTTGCACTCATACAAACATATTTAAAACAAGTAAGAAAGTATAGTCGGGCGTGGCCGACCATATGTTACCCTACACCAGTTATGAATATTAAATGTGATTTATTTTTCATAATAAAGCATTTATCTTCAATATTCCCTTGTTCCGATACATTTAAGCAATTTATGGGTGAAAAACTAATTTTCTGAAAGAGGCTTTATATGGGGGCTAGGGGCAAATATGGACCAAGCCCGATAAAATTTTGTGAATATATTTATATTTATATTTACATAATATTTTATTGTGCTGAATTTCATCATTTGTGTTTAAGCTGCCTACACACTATGAGAGAAGTCGTTAGATTTTTATTTCATACTGCCAAAACAAAATAAAATTAAAATTGGTATGATTATCAAAAAAATCAAATAGAAAATATATTTTGTTTTTACACTATCAGATTTGAAATATAATGAAACTTCAAATTGAAAAAATTCAAAGAAAAAACGTAAATTTTCATTTTGTTTCTGTTTTTCTTTGAAATTTGTTTCGGTTTTTATGTCTTTCTTTGTTTAAATAAATATAAAACTGAATTGAAACGAAAAAATCCAATCGTTGTGAAATTTTTCAAAAAATTTTAAAAAATCATACGATTTTCAATTTTCCATCCGTATTTTCAGTAAGTTTTATTACATTTTGAAAATTTTGACATGTCGTTTTACTGAATAAATGGTGTGTAGCCAGCTTTATAAGTTAATTTGGGACATTCAAGTAATTTTCTGAAGGGGACTTTGTATGGGAGCTAGGGTCAAATGGGGCCCGATCTTTATGAAATTTGGCAGGGTCATCAAGACTTCTATAAAATTTAGTTGTGCCGTATTTTATCGATATATCTGTATATTTAACATAATCATGAGCTCAGAAGCCCTTTTCGAAGGGTTATGTTCTATGGGGGCTAGGTGAAATAATGGACCGATTTGAACCATTTTCTATAGACATCGTCCTTCAAATAAGTCGCGGGAAGACGGACAGACTCTAGAATAGCCTTAAAACAATTTTTAATTCCAAAATTTATTTTTTTACATGAAAATAAATAAAAAAAATACGACAATAACAATAAAAAATTAATTTTACCCTCCCCTGAATTAAGAGCCATTTTCGACGCTTTTACCCCAATGTGCGTGGGTCCAAGTCAGCTAAGGTGTCATCTGAAAATTCTTCAAAGGGGTCGACGAGGCAATTCATCAGTTATTAAGGCCAGAAATTGGTTATAAAATTTGGTTCTATTGTTTTTTGCTCTCAGATGCAAAATTGCAAATTGCCTTCCATTTTTTCAGTTACCAAGAACCCAATTTTTTTGCTAAGACTGCAGAGCTCTTATAGATGACCAGTTTTCAGTCTTCTCCTTTGAGGCAACCAGCACTGTAGCTGTTGGTATAAAAACATTAGTCCAGATAAATGGGTCAATATGGGTCGTTTGGGTCATTTGTGATCTTGTTGAGACCGTATTTCCAGCTGCAGCCCGTTGGTTAGTAGTTGGTTTTACACTCGTTGATGACATATTATCAGATTGAAGATATAGTTGATGATGGCTGGCGCTTGTTGAAGGTGTTGTTGGCGTGGAGTCTTGTGATCTTTTAAGCTGTGGAGCGTCATGTAAAAGAGTGTTGTGGCGTTTAGTGCAAACTCGGCATCCGAACTCGTTTGGACAGTTATTTACTAAATGGGATCTAGCCAAACAGTTGATACAATATCGTTGGATCACGGCCACATCATATCGTTCATCTGCACGGGCGCTTAGAAATCTTTTGCAAGTTTTGATGGCCTGATCCTTTTTGCACAAACCACACGGCCAATTACAATCATCGGGTCGGAATCGTTGATATTTTGATGCCATAACTATAAATACATACAAGAGTTTTATAAATAAGGATTTTAATTTTGAATCAGTACGACTATTTTTGTAATGGGTCGAGTACAATTTCCGCTAGCAGTACGAATGTCCACAACTCTAATATTTTTGTCCGATCCCAGATACGTTTTGGTAATACGACCTAATTTCTATTCGTTGGGTGGCAAGTTGTCATCTTTGAGTACTACCAAGTCGTTGACTTTAACATTTTCTCGCCGAGCTACATCGCAGATACAAATGGAAGCATTTGTATCTGCGATGTAGCTCGGCGAGATATTCAGTCTCCCATCTTTAGCAAAATGATTGGTAGATGATTTTAATGCGTTTCCAGCGGTTTGATAGAGCTCGGCTGGAGTCAAGAGTGGAGCACCGACAAGAAAGTGTCCTGGGGTCAATGGGTTCAAATCATTTGGGTCATCGCTAGCAGGACTTAAGGGTCTAGAGTTTAGGCAAGATTCGATGCGGGTCAAGATCGTAGCAAATAAAAAATGTAAATTTCATATTAGGGATCATCTTTCGTAGGTGGGTTTTGAACGATTTTACACCTGCCTCCCATAGTCCGCCCATATGTGGGTCACCAGGCGGTATGAATTTCCATTTGATGTTTTGATGACTATAATGATGAGTTACTTGATCTTGAAGGGTTTTTATGAATTCTAGACGGTCTTTTTTGATGAGTTCTGATGCGCCGACAAAATTTGTTCCATTGTCCGAGTATATGAGTGCTGGACAGCCACGTCTTTCTATGAAGCGAGAAAATGCAGCTAAAAATGCTTGGGTCGATAGGTCACTTACAGCTTCCAAATGTATGGCTTTAGTAGCGAAGAACACGAATATGCAAACATAACCTTTTGTAATGAGGCATGCTCAACCGGTGAAGTTTTTTATATTGAAGGTTCCTGCATAATCTACTCCAGTTACGGTAAAGGGTATGGATAATGTTGTGCGTTCTGGTGGTAGAGATGCAGTAATTTGACTTTGGGTGTGTTTTTTGTAGAGGACACACGTTTTACAATTGTTAATAACGGCCTTTACTAAGGGTTTTAGACGAAAAATCCAAAATTCTGATCTAATAATTCGGATCATTGGTTGATTTCCTCCATGCAACGTAATTTTATAAGTAAATTCTGTTATTAATTTGGCCAATTTAGAATTGTAGGGTAGCAGGATCGGACAACGTTCATGGTGATTGTGCCAGGCCACCATTTGCTCGTATGCTTCCCATTCGATCCATAAATGGTGTTAAGGTCAACAGTTTGCTTTTGGGGGAAAGACGATTTTTGTGAAGCAAAACGTTATACTCGTCGGGAAAAAGATTTTTCTGAGTCCAAATTATTAAACGAATTTTTGCTGTTTGGATTTCTTCTTTGGAAATTTCTAGAGTCGAAACTCGGAGGTCTTCTGTTTTTACCGGTATTTCTCCAAAAATGTAATGTATAAGCGATGAATCGATAAGCACGAGGTAGTGATGAAAATCGACTTAGTGGGTCAAGTGTGGTTCAAGTGAATTAGAAGTGTCTTTACCGTTTTTGATTCCAAATTTGTATCTTGAGTAACGATTTGTACAGGCCATTGTTGTTTTGGTAGTTTTAGCCATGGGGGTCCAATCCACCATAACTTATGTGATTCTAATTCACTGGGTAAGCAGCCACGACTTGCAACGTCTGCAGGATTATCTTTGGAGTCTACATGTTTTCAATTTGTTGTACCGACTTTTCGGAGGATTTCTGAAACTCGATTACCAACAAAAGTGTCCAGGTTGTTTCTTTAGCCAAGATAACACAATTGTAGAGTCAGTCCAGAAATGAGTCTTTAAGTTTGGAACTTGTAGGTTTGGCAACAATTCTGAGGCTAAGTTTGTTAGTAGTACAGCTCCACAAAGATCTAATCGGGGTAGCGACACGTTTTTGAGAGGGGCAACTCGAGTCTTCGATGCAAGGAGTGAAGTGTTTACGTTATTTTCATCGTTCTGTATTCTTATGTACAATACTGCGGAATACGCTTTTTCCGAGGCATCACAAAATCCGTGGATCTCGACTAGGCTTAAGTTATTGTAATGGATCCATCGTGGAATTTTTATTGTGTTGATGGTGGGACAATGTTTTATGAACTTTTTCCATTGTTGTTCGGTAATGGGTTTTAAAAGGTCATCCCGGTCAATTTTATCCAACCAGATCTGCTGCATAATGATCTTGACATCTACGAGGATTGGAGCAAGCCATCCACATAGGTCAAAAAGCTTCTCAATCGTATATTTAATCTCTATGTCTGGAGCGTTAAAGTTGAATGAGTCTGATGAAATGTTCCATTTTATGCCGAGAGTCTTTGTGCCAGAATTTTCGGTTAAGTTTAGCCAGTCTAGAGGTAAAAGTTCTCGTTTGGCAAGTCCTGGGTACACGTGGGTCATTAGAGGTCCATTTCATTAGTTTGAAGCCTGCGGATTTTAATATTGATATGTGTGATGCTAGTGGATGCGTCGATTTGGCATCTTCGGCTAGCTGAAAAAGTGTTCTGATGGCCAAGTATGGTGCGCTATTAACTCTAAAGGTAACTGTGAGGAGTTCAAAATCTTCTATGAGGTCATTTTTGATTCTCTGAACAGAATTCTTTGGTATTTTGTTTGAGTAGGGATCCAATTGACCGCATCGGTGTTTCCATGCAATATATTGATGGGGCTAAGTCGAGGCCTATAAGCAGGTCGATGGGTCGACTTTGAGTAAATTGAGGGTCTGCTAGTTCTAATTCAGCAGTCTCGCTAAGATGCTGCAAATTTAACGTTTGGGGCGGTAAATTAGATGGAAGGGTCTTTAAGACGGGGGCCCATACTTCTAACTTAAATGTTGAGTTTACCCTTGAGCAAAGGTTAAATATACAGGCTTTTGTAGATGTTTCCGAAACGGTTTGACTTAAACCAGTAACATGAACCAAGTTCTTCTTTGTGGGGAGTTTCAATCGGTTCTTCAATTCGTCGAAAATGAAGGTTGATTGCGAGCCAGGGTCGATGATAGCTCTCGCCTGGTATCTTTGACCTCAAACCTCAATTTGTACTACTGCGGTGAATAACAGGGTTTCTCTATCTGTTCAGTTTGGTGAGGATTGATTGTCATCTCGTAGGGTCAAGGAAGTAACGTTGGGAATACCTGTCGAGGGAGTGGACTGTATGATGGATGCTCGAGCTGCGGCACTTGTACTAGGGTGTCCGTCAGAATTATTTTGAGCTGAGCTAATAGACTGGGTCATAGTTGCCTTGTGCAACAGTGTGTTGTGTCTCTGTTTACACAGTCAACAGCTATATTTACTTTGGCAAATCCTTGACACTGGAGAGGCAATTGTAACAAGAATTAGTGACTCTTACTACTTATGTGGATTCGATCATTAACATTCTTTTCTAAAAATGCAATTTGGCACGTAATTGTTTCATTGCGAAAACTGTTGTTTGATTTTGTGGCAATTTTATTTTTCTGATTTTCAGATTTTGATAAGTTGGTCTGAAAAGAGTGAACACTTTTTCCTTTCGGGACATTTTTTACTGAGTCTGATTTGCCGTGTGTATACTTGTCCTTTGATGGTTTAATATTTCCCACTGACTCTGAGGTAATTTGTTTATATATTTTAGGAAGAGGTGACGAGATTTTAAATTTAATTTGGGCAAAAAAAAAAAAAAAGAAAAAAATGCCTGCTAGCGATTAAATGAGTCATGTCGTAAAAAACTGAGTCTAATATGTTGAATTAATTTTCCCCGAAAAATGTTTAAAATATGTTGAGATGACAACTCTATTTTCAATGGTTTAAATAGCAACAATATGTAAAGGGTCTATGTATATGCACAATTAGAAGATCAATAATTATCTTTAATATTTCTCTTTGGCTGTTAGAGTTGTTTGTTTCTTCTTGTGTTGTTAGTAGGTAATATTTGTTGTGTACTTACTTGCTGAGTGCATGTACAAACCAAAGCTGAAGCTACTGATTACTGCTACTGCGCTGCTTGTAGCAGGAAATAACTTGGACTGAATGTAAGACTTTCGCCTATTTATAAGTCTGTTGACTTATAACTTTCCATTTATGTATAAGGCCTCAACTAACATTAATTTTTTTGTAACAGTTCCGCGGTTTGTAAAAAAAACACTTATTTGATAAAAAAAAACGTACTTCTATACTTGGTGCCTCCTCCAAATAATCAAAGAACATTTATATTCCTTCTGTTCGCCCCTTTTTGTTTTGTTTTTCACTTTTTAATTTATTTGGAATAATTTTTGCCTCTATTGTTTTAGTTTCATTTATTTTGTTGTTTACAATTGACAGCTGTTTTAATGAGAGAATTGCAAACGCAATAACGCACCAAAAAAACTATACCATTTAAGTATTGCATGAGTGCAATGGTGTGACAATTGCAACAGTGTGTGTTTTGTTGTTGGATTACAATAAAAAGCTATGAAATTTTGCATTTGCTCTTTTACAAGACCATTTGCACTAAACACTGAACTCCGCTGTTGTAAAATGTAAACACCAAAATAAGTTTAACAAAAAGCGCACACAACAACAAAATCTTACAAATCAAACAACTCATCAAGTCTTTTCAGCCATACTATCCAGTCAAATTACGTCTTACTATCCAGTCAAATTACGCTACTATCCAGTTTTTATTACGTGCATAGTAAGAAAACGAAACCAAGAACTAAACTATACTCAAGCAGCTTACTCAAAAATGTTTGCACTGTTCAGTCGACGTGTTCAGTTCGGTTGAGTTGAAAAAACTTAACATGGCCGCTGCTTGTTTGTGTGGCTGCTGAAGAAAAACAAAATCACTTGCTAGTTATTGCAGCAGCATGTGCGCACAGTTGACTGATTTCAGTTAGCTTCTAAGGGAAAAATAAATACTTGAACATTTTTCAGTTTAGTCGGCAATTTAGAAAATAAAACTAAAAACTAAACATTAAACCCTGTATATAACCCAAAAAACACAAACTCTATCGTTTAATAATATTTTATGAAATAATGGTTTGAATAAGCCATTTTTATTCAATATCAGTAGTGGAATTCAGTAACTTTTAACGATTCGAGAATTGTTAAATATATCAATAATATTTCTTGTTTGCAATAACGACTAAGTGATTCACAAACTACGCTTTAACGATTGTTGATAAATTATTTTTTTATTAAAATCAAGTGGCAACTCTGCGTAAAGAAATATCAAAAAAGAGAAAAGCACAAAGAAAAATGAAAAAAATAAATAAATTACAAACAAAAAATTTAAAATTTTTCTCGATTTCCGTTATTTTGCTTTCTAAGGTAAGTAATTTAATATGAGTTTGTTATTTTCATTAACCACTTCTTTTCAGAATGATGTCCAATATTGCTTCCAAAAGAAGTCGTGCCACAGCAGAGCAACTAAGCCAAATGGTTGATTTTATGCTGGAGAACCCGGGATTGGCAGGAGGAAAATTTCAGAAGCTCCACGGGAAAGTAGAATGTGACAGAAAGTGGAGCGAACTATCTGGAATTTTAAACAGTCTTGGCGAAGCAGTAAAGACAGTTGAACAATGGCACACGGTATGTATAGTATACACTTTTTTGCAGTATAAATAATTTTTTTATTTACAATTATGTAGGTATGGAGGGACTTAAAAAGTCGTACTACTATAAAGATACGTGAAAAGAAAAAGCAGCAGGCAATGACCGGAAACCGACCGATCAATCAAGAGCCTATTACTGAGTTGGAGAAACGCGTAATTACCATTATTGGGAACGACTACATAGAGGGTCACGAGTCTGTTGCTGAAAATTTGCCCATGGAAGAGGTAAGCTGTCGTAAAGTGATATTATCCATTAATTACATTTCATACATTTTCCTCCGAAATAAGGAACTTCAACTGCGTCTTGAAAATGGTGAAGAAGACGTTATTGAACTGGCATTTGGTTCAAGTTCTCCCGAGTTAAGAAGTGATACTCCCAAATCGAATAAAAAGACACCACGAAAAAGTTTGAAGAGAAAGCGAATGGGTGATGTTGACGAAAAAGAAAAATTTTTGGAAATCGCTAGTAAACAAGCAGATGCTCTAAAAGTAAGTTTATCTAACCATTGTATAATGTTTCTTTAATTATGATTTTTCCATAAGATGCTGGCGGAATCAAGTGCAGCACATGTCGAAGTTGCAAAACAACAAGCAGATGCTTTGAAGGTAATGTTATCATTTCAAAAAATTAGAAAACTTGTTATCATTATTTTCTAACATACACATTTCTTTACAGATGCTAGCTGAAGTCCGCGCAGCAAGTGTGGAAGCCAACAAAGTGATGGCAGATGCTATAAAAGCTATGGGAGAAGGATTAAAGGTAACCGCGGAAGCATTTACTAATCTTACAAATGCTATTTACCGCATATGAATAATGTACAAAAATAGTTTAAGTGGATATTTATTATTATTTGATTTAGTTAACTTTTATTAATTTTTAATTTATTTTGTTTGTTATAATGCATTTATTTAATTTTAATTTCTTTTTATAAAATTGGATTGTTTTTTGTTTTGTTTGTTTCTAACTTTATACTTTTAGTAAATTTTAACTTAAAACACTGAATTGCTTTATTTTACTTTTTATTTATAATATACATACATATGTATTTAGTTATTTTATGCAACATATTTTAAATAAAAGACTGAAGAAAAACATTTTTATAATATTTTAGTGATAAAAAATTACAATAAAAACAAAACTATTTAACGTTACTAATTTTGTGTTTCAATGTTTGTTGTTTCTATTTAAGTAAAAAAATTTGCAATTAGCCTATCTTGGACACGTTTTGCTATTGAAGATGGTGTACAAGTTAATACTTGAATCAGGCTCTAAGACCTCATTGTTAGTCTCTAATCTTTGTTCATCCAAATTGATGTTATGCAAAACAATACAAAAATTATTGTCGTTTAGTTTACGACAACAGCTGATAAATCGATTTCGAATATCGTTTAAAAATTGTACTGAATACCAAAATCGACAATTTTGTTGTTTAGTAGTTTAAACAATTCGATAATCGTTAAAAAAATTACTGAATTCCACTACAGTTGACCAATGGAAGAAAGATCTTCATTCAAAATTATTCTTAATTTTAAACAAACTCTTTGTGTTTGCTGGGTTGGACCATCGGAAGTAATATTTCTGTATATAAGAGAAATACTTGTACCAATTTCTATATGGATATCTTAATTTAGTAATGAGTTATGCGCGTGTAAGTGATTTTCGGGAGATGACCTTGTATGGGAACTATGACCAATTATTGACATTTCTGTATATAAGAGCAATACTTATACCAAATTTTATATGGATATTTTAATTAAGTAATGATTTATGTGCGTTTAAGTGATTTTTAGGAGAGGACGTTGTATGGGAGCTATGTCCAATTATGGACCGATCTATAAAAATTTTTCTCTATATGAATTCTATTGACATAGAATTTTAATTTGTAAAATTTTGTTAAGATATCAACATTCTGAGGGAAGTTATTAACAATAAACTCATTTTCCGGGAATATGTACTTTCGTATGGGAGGTATAAGAAATTGTGGACCGATTCCGGCAATTTTCAACATGAATAAAGTTCTCATGTAAAAACAAATGTATGATGATTTTTATGGAATTATATTGCATAGTTTTAGTGAAAATTACACCAGAATGTGTAAAAAATGCTAATTTTTTTCGGAGTTGTTTTAAATTTTGATTCATAACTTTTCCCGATATAAACCGATTTTGCTCATTTTCAATACCAAACTGCCTAGGACAATAGGGAATATTCTGGCCAAATTTCAATTTATTTCATTTCGTTTTTACGTGAGCGTGTTTTACACAGACAGACATAGATAAATCGACTCAGAATTTCATAAGGACCAAGAATATATACTTTGTTGGGTGTTTAGACGGGTTAGGGGGTATGTGTAATAAAGGGAAAAATAAAACTTGTAATAAATAACAACACTTGGGTAATTTATTTTAAAACGTTATTTATAAATTTAGGGTAAGGATTCCAGTTTTAGGGTTTAATTCACAGTTTGGATATTTCAATTTATAGTAGGTTTTATTTTAGTCTTTTAACTATTTATTTTAGCCTTAAGTTTTAAATAGATTTTATTCTTTTAACTATTTATTTTAACTTTATGTTTTAAATAGTATTAAGTTTTAATTAGGTTTAGGTTTTAAATAGTTTTTTAGATTTTTAAGTAAGTTTTATGATTATCTGTTTTAGATTTGTTAACTTATTTATTAACATTTAGTTTTAAGTTTAGGTTTAAGGGTTGATATTGGTGCTTTTGGGTTTTTGCTTTCACACTGTATATAGGTTGTTTGTTTAACTTCTTCTCCTCTTTTTTTCTATCAATCGCAGTTGAAGTTGGCTGCAGTTCAATTCACCAGTGATGGGATGCTGAGGGTAAAGTGTTGGGTAAAATGGGTACTATTTGTTCACCGTGTGAACATTGGGTCTAAGATGAATATTTCTTGGTGTTACACACGGAATGACAAAGTTATATATACCTACCCTCAATCACTACTGCTGATGGTGGAGGGTATAATAATTAATTAAAAAAATTGTTTTACTCTTTTTTTTTCATGTCATTTCAAAATCTGGTCACCATATTTAAAATAGATGATTGTTCTCTAAAAAGAGGATGTATGGTCAGCTTACTTATACGCACAATATGAGACGCATGATTTCAGTTATTATCGTCATGTAAGAAGAACGAGGCTTGTAAATGACTCTATTCGCGACTTTGTGTGAGGTTCTCTTTTAGCATATTTCAGTGTTTGTATTGCTTGCTTAAAATTAGCAAAAGCACCAAAATATCTGCTTTGCTTACGGTGACCAAATGTTCTGTATTATACAGAACAGTATAGTATTTTGGAGCCATGTTCTGTGTAAATTTTTCTTTACTAAAAAACGTGAAAATGTTCTGAATTTTATTTAGTGTTCTGTATTTGTTAAATATTTCGTTATTTTTTCGGTTTTACATAAAAACGCATAAGAAATACAAAAATATTAAAAAATTGTGACACAAATGTAGGTAATACAGTTTTTTCTAACACAAAAAAAAAAATTAATACATAACTGGAATGAATTTGGTAATAAATTGTATGAATCGAACATGACTCTTTTCCCAAGCAATTTTTATTCAGAATATTAAACGTTCATAAAATGTATAACCTTGTACATGACGGTAATTTTTTGAATTTGTACTTTTTTCAACGATATTCATGAAATAATTGCATAAAAGTCCATTATTTACTATTCTGTTTACATAGTAACAGAATACTAATCCTATATTAGCGAATTTTGTATAATACAAAATATAAATTTAAATGTTGAAAAACAAAATCAAAAACAGGAAATCATCAGCAAACATAGCTAACATCCATTCTTCAACAAAGCCCGCAAATTACGCTCAAATTTCATCGATTTTAATTTAAAAATCATAAAGAAATAACAAATTTTACAATAATGTTTAAAACTTTATTGACAATTGAAATTTTGACAGTTAAAAATAACCTGATTTAGAAAATGGTGATTAGTTTATTATATTTTCTCCTGTTCTATATTTTGCTAAAAAAAATATGGTCACCGTACCTTTGCTTAAAGTTTTTCCGCAATTGTATCCAAAGCAAAGGCAGAAAGTAAAGCCAAAAAAGCTGCAGTGGCGCAGTGAAATGTTTTCTGCTAACGCAGTCAGTCACATCGATTAATTTCAAACAATCACTACTGCTTGAAGCATTTCAGCACTTCTATTTTTATACGGGGGGTATATTGATTATTGGTCATAGAACCACAAAAGTATATACATATATTCTGGGCCCTTATTAAATTCTAAGACGATCTAGCTATGTCTCTCCGTCCGTCTGTCTGTCTGTTAAAAGCACGATAGAGTCCGAACGGAACGAGATAGAGGATTGAAATTTTCCACAAATATTTATTATAAATAAGTTTCATATGATCCATAATTGACCGTACCCCCCATATAATGTCTACTTCAGAAAATGACTTAAGCACTCATTACTGGCTTTAAATTACGAGTATAGTGATGAAATTCGTATGTATGTATGTATGTATGTATGTATGTATGTATGTATGTATGTATGTATGTATGTATGTATGTATGTATGTATGTATGTATGTATGTATGTATGTATGTATGTATGTATGTATGTATGTATGTATGTATGTATGTATGTATGTATGTATGTATGTATGTATGTATGTATGTATGTATGTATGTATGTATGTATGTATGTATGTATGTATGTATGTATGTATGTATGTATGTATGTATGTATGTATGTATGTATGTATGTATGTATGTATGTATGTATGTATGTATGTATGTATGTATGTATGTATGTATGTATGTATGTATGTATGTATGTATGTATGTATCTTTAGTTTAAAAAAATGAAATATAAATTATTTCATTCGCTTCTGTATATTGTATGTATATAAGATTTTAGCTTTGTACCATTTTCCATAGGTAGTGGCCGTTTTAAAATGTTACTTAAGATCATCAAATACGAATTTTTAAACATATTTTTGCAGAAGAACAATTAAAATTGACATAAACAAAATATGCCAAAAAAATATTTGAAAAATGCAAAAAGGTGCTAGATGCTATGAGTTAAAAAAGTACTAAGTCTAGCACTAAAAGTGCTTAATTGGCGTCGTTCCAGGGAACAGGGATACTTTTTACCAAGTTCCTCAGGGTGCTAACACATTCGTGAGATGCCAATCTCATCAACATTACTCGCAGCTAAAGCTCTCTATTGGTTGTTTCGCCTTTGAAGCGATTGCGTGGTCCACTATCTTATTATTGTCCAGATCTTCTACCTTACTCTGCTGGTCTATTGGAATTTTGTCTGTCGGATTACCCCCTTGTCTGATAGCGTTTGTTTTCCCTATGGGGCGGCTATCAGGAGCATTCCATGAACATTTTCCCCTCAGTATGTCCGACTTTCCCTTGGAGAGCATGTCCGACTGGCAAAATCTGTAGCCATACACTTAACTGTGTAAGTCCGTCCGTTTACACCAGCGTCTGTTTCCCCAGTGGGGACGGCAGTTTAACCTCACCTGGCAGTAGGATGAAAATGCAACCCGTCCACAAGGACAAACATGGAAGGAAAGAAAGATATATGCCCCGCGTACAGGGGCGGTCAGGGGCTTCATAATCCCTGGGAGCCCTACTCAACGAGTCAAATTCGACTGTTACCCAGACTGTTACCTGAGGCCGTACCACCCACTGCCAAGTTCGGCAACCAAGCAACAATGACTCTGCATAAAAAACCATCCAAGCGGACTGCAACTACTAGGCGATCCGCCTTGAGAATCATTGAGTTACTCGGGTCTAAAATACCTGAGGA